TGTTACTAGTAGCGATGCCCTTTGTTACTAGTAGCTTCTTGTTACTAGTAGCGAGGGCCTCCAACCTACTTGCGATGGCCTCCACCTATTAGCGTCCTTGTTACTAGTACGTAGCGATTGTAGAACCAAAGGAAACAAACAAAACTAAGTTGATGAGGTCCTTCATGCTTTCTGCTTCATGATTCTGTGCGGGCTCCACATGGTACTTTCAATCTAACACCATTTCTCAATTGCACGTTCGAGGAAGCTCTTCTCTCCCTTGAAAAACACCATGGCTTTCCTTCCCACAATTGCTTTCCCCCGCCAGACTTTTGTGCGCTCAGTGCCTACCCAGTTGGTAAAAGTATCTTTCGGCAAAGAAAAACCTCTGGGTGGAGCACCATATTGGCAAGCAAGTAGAATACCTTCCGGATGTGTAAATCGCCGTCGATGCTCTTCGCTGAAATCCTCAGCCGATCGTTCAAATCCACTCTTTCGTTTCAAATCGGCCCTCGGTTCAGATCTATTTGCTTTGACTTGGTCTTGAAGAAAGTTGAAACAATGACGACCAAGTCAAAATGACACTTCTCCAGGACCTGAGAAATGATTTTTACATGTATCATTATCATCCATAAGGAAGAATACTAGCACTTCGACCACTCGAACATCTAGCTAGTTGAATGCTCGTCAAAACCACTTCAGGTCTAGGTTGGAGCGTTCTAGGTTGTGTTTGGACGCCAGGATGCTGTACATTCCACACCATGGCGGCAAGCAGAAGAGCTTCCTGCCAACAGAAAAGAAGGTGACAAACGAAAGGTGGCAAGGAACCTGAGAGGAACCCGAGCAAAACGACAACATGAGGTGATGAAACAGGTGATGAAACATAAGGAACACGAAAAGAAGAAGGAACGAAAAGAAAGAAGAAACAAGAGGAGAACGAAGCAGCGGTCTGAGGTCATGTGACCGCTCTCTTAGGGCACAAGGCCAGGGGAATGTCGCCGCAAACATTTACTCCTGGTGTCTTAGCATTATTGTTATTAATTTGTTTTATTTGTCATTTTTTAAGCCCGGGGAGGGTAGGCCGATAAGCTACTAGTATGGACGCAGGATAGCTCGCACTAAGGATTTGCTTCCTAGATTTTTAGGGAAACTTAACTAGTAGCTTCTTGTTACTACTAGCGATGGCGTCCAACCTACTAGCAATGGCCTCCACCTAGAAAGTTCTAGCCCATGTCCGACCAGATTCTACATGTGTCCTCAAGCCAACTGCTCGGTGCTTTTCTAAAGTCGACTGAATGATGAACTGCTCTTTCACCAACAGGCCTGAACAAAAAACAACTTTTTTATATGTAAAAACTTCCTTTTGCACCACAAGATCTGTGCAGTGCTTCCCTGTCCTACACTCGGCGTCGGTGGCAGAGGGCGAGTGCCACCGGTTGCCCAGCCTGGGAGTTCGTCGCAGCATCCGTCGCTTTGAGGAACCGCTGTGGACACGTTGCCAACTCGATCTAAACGGTTCTATACGCATCACAGGTTTTGACACAGCTTTTGAAACCCTGCATGCCTTCCGCCACCGGAGGATGGCTGCTACCACTGGGGCGGCTCGCATAGCCTGGCCCATACACACCTCAGCTCATCAATACTCCCTGTCACTCCCAGGCGTGTTCTCTCTAGTCATGTGTTGGCAAAAACTTCTTCGGACCTGTGCATGCAATCGTTGAAAGGAGGCAATCTCAAGACTCCGAAAAAATACACTCCGAAAATGCTCAGAAGGTTTATGTTTTCGTGCTTGCCTTCCAAATCAAGAACATGTATGCAATGCACACTCAGGTCCAGAAATGGCTACTTAGGCGTCCAACAAAAAACCTATTGCCTTGGTGAGTCCATTTGTAGACCATGGAGGTCAAAATTAAGGGAAACAGAATACAAACACACACACACACTGATCCAAACCCCTAGTTACCCGAACAGACTTTCTGCATCCGAGCAGCTTGGGTCATGAGCCATCATTGGGTAGTCCTTGGAAGCACGATATCTTGGCTCTTGAAACATCTTCGGCAACATGTTCGGCATGCCATGATTAATGTCATGTAATCTACCAGCTTCCTTAGCCTGAGGGAGGTCAACGAGGTGTTTTCCAGCTATCCCCTGTAAGTCTTGGAGATCCCGGTGTGAACACACATACCCGGCCAAAAAAAAAGAATCCATATCTCAACTCTCGCGCTCTGTTCCCAGAGCGAGCGAATACGGATCAAGATCCGCACCAGCTGTCATCCTGTACATCTGCTCCATTGTTGGATTGTGTGTTGTATGGTAGTGCAAGTTGGACCTTCTTGGAATGTAAGTTTTTGTGTGACAAAGTACTTGACCTGCTGCTTGCCAAACGTCTGCGTAAACAGGCCCTGCATGTGGGAGGCCACCAGCATATGCAGAGCCTGAAGACACTTGTCATCGAGCAACCTGATTTGACAGTAATCTTCACTTTACAACTTGGACGCGAACTGCACCATAAAAGCGACTTGGAAGTTTAGCTTTCTCTGACTGAGCTTAGTAATGAAGCACAAACTCCTGCATAACCTTTTTGATTTCTGGATCTAATACTCAAGGGAGATTGCAAAAATGCTGCCTGCAGCAGTGGAATAGCCAGCGGGCGGATGGTGGTAAACTGGAGCTCCATATCTGCCAGGGCCGCCAGGGTAAGTGTGCCTAAGTTCATTGCAATGCACAAGTGCTCCACGTTTATTGCAGGCTGGATGAAAGACAGTTTTCGCTCGATATCGAAGCTGAAGAAAGTGGAAATGCAAGTTTCCCTAAACATCCTTCGGACTTCCAGCTAAAAGGTCCTAGTAGCATCCTTGTTACTACTAGCGACTCCAAGGGCCCAACGGCTGATATGTTACTACTAGCTTCTTGTTACTAGTAGTAAGGCACTTGTTACTAGTAGCGAGGCACTTGTTTCTAATAGCAAACATTGTTACTACTAGCGTGGCACTTTGTTACTACTAGTAAGGGCCCAACGGCTGATATGCAGGCTGCTCCTTTCCGCAGTTGGCGCCCATGGCAGGCGGGATTACTCGCACAGGGTGCGGTAGTCAGGTGTGCACGTGAACCCGCTACAATCTCCAAAACCCGGAATTGATTTCTTTTTGGCACAACATTCGGCTGGAGAAACAAATTCTGGAAGAGTTCTATCGAATTCAACGCCAGTGCTAGTGGCTGCTAGTGCTTGTTGTGGCAAATGAGCACTTCGTGCTAGACATTTGACAGGTATTGTACGTCCACCTTTCAATCTATAGAGTTTTCAAGCTGAGCCAGTGAAACTTTCCTGGCACACACGCGCACAAAAATGCCCTTTCGGAAGTTCAAAGACTGACACATGTTGGCGCCTCATTCAACAGTTCAAGCACCGCATGTTTCAAGAATACCACCATGCAGACGTGTCTTTCTATGTTCTGGCAACATGGCATTCTGTGACAACTCGGGATAAGGCATCATCTGTTGCATCTGCTGAAGATTAGGCATCTGCCTTGCACGATACACTCAATCAACTGCATTCACGTTTTTTTCCACCCTTCTTCCACCTTTCCGAAGCTGCAAGAATCAAGCCAAGATAATCTGCAATTCAAACCTTTTGGATCTTGGCGGTTTCTTCCGTACGTTATGCTTTAAGCCTTGTTCTATTTGGCCCACAACTGGCAGCGGCCAAGCTGCTGTTCGCTTCCCTTGATTGCCGCCCCTCTGCGCTCCACTTGCTGCTAAGCTGCTGGAGATTGGGCATTTGCATACCCGGCATTGGCGCTGGCATCGCAAGGCTTGGGTTGGCGCCAGCACTGGCGCTGGAGCTTGGCACCTGGCTCGGAACGTGCCGCGACTGTGACGAGCTGCTTGGGCCAACTCACCAAAAGTACCGAGCCAAATCGACACGTCCCGTCGACCAATGAATGCAGGAGCGCATGTGGGAACGCACTGGAGGCCATCCCTAGTAGGTTGGAGTAGCATCAAGTGTCAACACTAAAGGCTCGAAGGTTACTCTTCCAGTATGTAGGAACTATTTCGCTCAGCGAGAGCTCAAGGGAACTGAAAGCTTAAAGCACGTGTATTTTTTCGAAAGATCAATTAAAACAAAGAAAGGAAAGGTGGTCATAGGTCTCAACAAAAAGACCCCACCACACATTTCTTCATCAAAAGCATTCTGCGGACCGTTTAAGCCGAGAGGCTGTTTCTTCTTTCTTTGGCTCCGGCAAGGTCTTTGCCTCTGCAACATGAACAATTGCATGCATGCTCGCCTCCGAAAAGACCTAGACAAAAGGACAAAGACAAGGAAGAAAGAAATCGCGTTTCGATTAGTTTTTCTTTTCTTGTTAGGCGGGGTAGGCTCCTTGAAGAGCCCTTGCTGTCGAAGGGGATTTGAAGCACTTAGATGCTGGGATTCTTAGTGTTGTCCGGGTAGTCAAATCCAAGATGCACGAGAAAACTTAGTTCTTTCAAGCACTCAGGCAGAAGTGTTTGCCACACCATGCAATGACTTGAAGTCTTCGCCATCTTTTTCAGGGCCTCAAATAGGCCAAATCTGGCGAGACCGGTGCCTGCTTCAACGCATTCTGCCGTCCTGGTCCCTGTGGACTTGACGATATTGTATCCTCTTATAACGAAAAAACCGACACATACCTTCCTGAGGAAGTGACCCCCCCCGCGCGCGCGCGCGCGAAAAGGTCCAGTAGCTTCTAGTTTTAATTCTAATGAAATTCTAATTCTAATTCTATTTATTTCTTGTTTCTAATAGCAAACATTGTTCCTAGTAGTAAGGCCAGGAGCCCCTAGTAGCGAAGATTGTTCCTAGTAGCGATGCCAAAAGACCCTAGTAGCGTCCTTGCTACGAACAAACCGCTGACTTTCCAAGTGTGTCGCCCCGAGCCTCCCCAAGCACAAACTTCTTCTTAAAGAAACGGTGGTCTGGATGGATCTGACGCGAGACATGAAAGAACAAGGACGGTGTGCGGTGTCAACAAGTTTCCAGCAAATGACCAGGCTGTGAAACGGTGGGTATCAACGGATCAGCAAGATTCTTCCAGTCAAAAACTAACCAAAGCCTTAGCCTTGATTCTTCTAAGTCTGAGGTGACAGGTGGGAAATTACATCACAAGCGCCAAAAAAAAGACTGAACCTATGACAGCAGGTGTAAGACTGACTCCAACTGCTGATCTCTCGGCCTGTGACTTTCTGTCGTAGCACTTTTCACCTTATGAACTGAGGAATTGAGGGCTGCGTCCAGTTTTGAGAGGACTCTGAGACGGAAAAAAAGTCAGGTTGAACAAAAAGAATGCTTCGTTGCTTCTGGCTTTGGAAGATTCCAGGAACATGTGCAGGCGTTTCATCCAACAGCAAAGGATAGCTGCTTGGGAGCTGACACAAGTCGAAGGACTCGCAAATAGAACCTTGGCCAAGTTGAGTTCGCTTGTCGCTTTTTGACACGACGCCACGCCTCTTGAGCCGTGAGGCGAACTGAGTGCCGGGCATTTAAATCGGTCGCCGCGGATGGGGCTAGCTCGGCACCTTAGTTGTCAATTCTCCAAGTGACGGTGCCCCAAAGAAAATCAGAGTGGAGCGTTGTCGCGTTTGACGAAGAAACGACTGAAACTGTTCTTTCTCCAAAGTCCCAAGATTCTGTGAGTTGAGCATCCGAACCCTGAGCAAGAAATGCCATGGTGCACTTCATCATCATCCTGCACAAGCGGAAGCTCTTGTAGAAGATTGCAGAACGCAACAGGAAACAACGGGAGAGTGGAACACCAGGCATAGCCCCACCCACCACCAGCTGCCACACTGCAAAGTTGGATGTTGATGCATAGAACATCTTAGTCGACCAATCTTTGCCCCAACCTGCCTCTTGAGTTTAGTTAAGTTCCTTAAACATCTAGGAACCGAAGGATTAGCGCAAGCTATCCTGCGTCCAGTTACTAGTAGCTTCCTAGCTACTACTAGCTACCTCTCCCTTACTTAATTAAGTAGGCGCCTACTTAATTAAGTAGGGAGGAGGGGGAGCGGGCCAAAAAAGAACTCAACATCTACTAGTAGCTTCTTGCTCCTAGTAGCGATGCCCTTTGTTGATAGTAGCTTCTTGTTACTACTAGTAAGGCCAGCAGCCCCTAGTAGCGTCCTTGCTCCTACTTCCAACTCAAAGGCCTTGAGGACCAATGTCTCAAAGTTGGTGTGACGAGAACTCACGCTCTGAGCTGCCGTGCTGGCGGCGCAATATTCACACCGCTGGCACTCCTCGGAAAAGCCGGACCAGTTTGTGAACCAGGCGGGTAAGAAAATAAGTGGACAATGGATGTCAAATGCGAGAAATCTAGCTGCCTTTTTTGATTCAGATCCTGCAGTAATACTGGAGAAGACCTGGTCCTAACCATCACATGCCGACCTGTCTGGTGGTTTTAGACCTGCTCGCCCAGGAACACCTTCTTTCAACATCCCTCATGCGGTGCTAAGCCTACGACTGTCGCTGCGGAGAAGGAGATGCCTCACAAAGCAACGAAGTGATCAAAAAAGATTTGGAAGCCTGTCATTACCTTGTATGCATTTGGCACTATTACCTTCATCTATCAGCTGACTTTAGAAAACCCATACACACACAAACACGTGTCAAACACTTGAACTCCGCAAGGACATCAAGATGTCTGCAAGTCTTTGTGAAAATCCATGGCCTGATGCTGATGGCCTTCAGGTCGTTTGGGCATGTCTGTACTGTCACCTCGCCGGATCGTCTCATTGCACAACGTCTCGTTGCGTGTTGGAGTTCATGAGGCCGGCCTTTGACGAAGATAGTAACAAGTGCACTACTAGGAGCAAGAAGCTGCAAGAAGCTACTAGTAGCAAAGGGCATTTCTACTAGGAGCAAGGACGCTAGTAGTAGCTCCCGGCCTTACTACTAGTAGCAAGAAGTTACGAACGTAGCGATGCACTTGTTACGTTCGGAGCTTCTTGTTACTAGTAGCAATGTCCTTGTTCCTAGTAGCGATGCCAGGAGCCCCTAGTAGCTTCTTGTTCCTAGTAGTAAGGTGCCTTGTTGAAAACGACCAGAAACACCTGCATTGAAGACTTGCCGTTCCACTGGCATCCGCCGAAATCACTACCGTCCCGTGCAGGGTCTCCCAGCGACTTTCTCGGCTGCAGCTCCTTGAGGGTGGCTTCTCAGCCTCTCAAACTCGGCAAACGATGATTGGAGAAGAACACAGAGTTTTTGCTACTAGTAGCAACGACGCTACTAGTAGCTCCTGGCCTTTCTAACTGAGGAACGTCATAGCAAGCCCTTGTTGAGGTGACAGGATTGGATGTTGTTTTGACCCTCAGGAAATAGCCCCACATGTCTTCAGTCTTTTCCTTGGACCTCTAGAACTTTCTTTTCTCCTTTCCTTTCTTTCGGTTTTCGTTAGCTTTCTTTCTTTCTTTCCTTCCTTGCTTCCTTGCTTCCTTGCTTCCTTGCTTCCTTGCTTGCTTGCTTGCTT